TGGGGCAGCGGGGCCCTCTGCTGGCCGTCGCCCCCAGTTCCCTGCTGCTGTGGCCAGGGCAGAGGGAGAGGCGCTCCACGGGAGGGCTCAGTGGTTAGGCCCCTACCACAGTACCAGCTCCTTAGGGCAGGTCTCAGGAATACTTACAGGTAGGCTTGTGGACCCCTGGCGCCTGTGCTCTGCTGCTTTTTTCTTATCTGTAGCATTCTGCTTACTGCTGCTCTTGGCTTAACTGGCTACTGATGCTTGGTGGAAGGCGAGGAGGTAGGTGTGGACTGAGCCTGTGGACAGAGCGAAGCTATCGTGATTCCCCTGCTGTCCCTGTGAGCTCAGTACCCAGCTACAGTCGTTTCACTTTATACTGATAGGGGATGTCGACGGATGCACAAGATGAATGTACACTGGGTCTGTGTGTGGTAGCTTTTTGAACCTTTGAACAGGAGGAGCATGTCCTGCTTGAAGTGACCGTCCTGCAGAAGCCTTGCCTAGATGAAAGTCACCATTTTGGCTTGGTTTGGGTTTTCAATTTTCATTATTGGGTATTTGTTTGTTTTTGTTTTGTTTTATTTGTTGTTTGTTTTCCATTTTTATTTTGTCCCAACATTTTCCTTTATAGTCCACCATTAGATATTGATCAGTTGAAGCTCATTTTAAGACTCGTTGGAACCCCAGGGGCTGAGCTTTTGAAGAAAATCTCCTCAGAGTCTGTGAGTTGATGCTTTGATTGTAACTATCTGCCCTGTTGGGAGCATCTCCACTTGCTTTCCATCAGTCTGTACTCTGACCTGGGTGTGTTTCTAAGCACGTGTGCCCTTTGTGTGCTGACTTCCAGGATGGGTGTGTGTGTGTGTGTGTGTGTGTGTGTGCATGCGTGCACACACTTGCATGCATGCACAGACACCCTCCTGGCCACATGCATGAGTGTGTTTTGTTTTCTCTCTATCTGGGTGCACCCTTGGACCACGGGAGCCTGTATTGGGCAGCAGGATCCTCGTAGTAGTAAATGAGATTTGAGATTCTAATTCATTCCAAGAGATTAATAGAAAATTTATATCTGTTCTCAGCCCTGACTTCATCTTTCTCAGAAGTGTCACATGTAGTCAAGGGCTCTTTTCACTTTTTGGTTGGTGTTTGTTCTCAGAGCATGAGGTTCACCATGTATTACTCTGCCGTCATCACTAAAAGAATGACATGTGCATTGTCTGCACAGTTGCCCTTTTCCAGAAGCTCCTTGCTTTTTATTGCTGTAGAACAGACCCCCTGCACACCTGAGCGGTGTCAGTTCCTAACAGGGTTCCTCTCTGCCCCGTCCCCAAACCAGCAGAGGTTGCAGCCCATTCCTGGTGCCTCAGGGCCACAGGAGTAGGGTTGTGAGTCCTTCCTCCCACAGCCTGCCTTTGTAATTACAAATGTTAACAGCCGGAGAAAGAGCTTTGGCTAGTGCTTTCCTGCCTCCATGCAGGCATTCACAGAGAAGCCCTGGGAACGCGCCTCTGGCTTCCTTTGGCTATGATTTCCTGCTGTTGGTCATTTTCTTGGGCAGGAGACGTGAGAGAAGTCATGAAAGCCCAGCCTTTCTCCCTTTTCCCTCTGTCTGCTGCCAGGCAGTGGATACAAGGGGAAGAGCTACGGAGCCGAGCATCAGCCGTGCCTTCCTGGGCTCTCCCCCCAGCATTTCTGGCTGAAGGGGTCCCTTTGCCCAGTTGGGAGACTGCTGGGTAGCTTGAGACAGGCTCGAGCAGGTGAGTTCAAAGAGTTTGCCATCTCCCTGTCAAAGACTGTTGTCATCTGATATGTGTTCTGGTACATTCCTTAAAAGGACCACAAAGCCCAGGGCATTTACGAATTTCCACTCTGACGATGTAAGAGAATGTGCTGGCCCGATTGTATTTTGTCGTATCTGCTTATTTTAGAATGAGGAAGCAAAAGCACAGGAAGGCTGTGCCTTGCCTGAGTCACGCACTGAGTCACTTGGCAGAGCCGAGCGCAGGTCCCAGATGCTCCGATAGCACGGCGGGGCCTTAGCTGTGTGTGACTGGGCACTGCGCAGAAGCCACTGTCCGAGCCCCACCAGGGGCAGCCTGAGCGGCGTCCTCTCTGCACTGGGGTGGGTCAGAGAAGACATGAGGAGATGCTTGGCGAGGACAGTTGTTTTACATGCCTTTGCTTAGAAAGATTGGCTAGTAGAGAGGACGTGAGGACAGGGGAGTGGGGCTGAGAAGTTGGGTTTATTAGTGAGACTAAGACAGCAAAGTCATGCCGCCCGGGGTGGCTCCCAGCAGCTCCTCCTCAGTGCCCCCTCCCGCCCCCAACCCAGCCATCTGCCCTATAGGTTTGTGCCATTCGTCACAAGGATTTCTAAAAGAAAGGGTGTGGGTGAAATAGTATTTATCTATCATTAAGCCACCGTTTATTTTTAAGAAAGAAACAACATCAAGTGCCTGACATCATATTGAGATGTCTTTTCGTGAAATAGGGCACATTGTATATATTACAAAGCTCTAAGGTAGAGTTGGGCAATAATAAAATTTCAGAACTTACTCAAATAATGTTATACTGAGTAAGGGTGAGTATCCCTACGTAGTCATGGCCAGTGGATAAACGCTCAGAAGGGTCAGCAAGATTAATTTGACGTTAGTGTTACTGCCTAAGTACCAGTTTTTTGTTTTTGTTTTGTTTTGTTTTTTTAAATATATCTTTATTGATTTCAGAGAGAGGAAGGGAGAGGGAGAGAGAGAGACAGAAACATCAATGATGAGAGAGTCATTGATCAAGCCCACAACCTGGGCATGTGCCCTGACCGGGAATCGAACCCCGGTCGCCTTGATCCTAGGTCNCGAGCCCACAACCCGGGCATGTGCCCTGACCGGGAATCGAACCCCGGTCGCCTGGATCCTAGGTTGACGCTCAGCCGCTGAGCCACGCCCGGCCGTGCAGTACCAGTTTTTTTAAAAGCACACGATGTGTGGGACATATAATATGAAAATAACAAAGCCAAGTGAGTAAAATTGTTTAAAGATTTTAAAAATCAAAAGAAAAATTCATTATTGAAGGAATGTAGAAAACAGGCAATGGCTATTTTCGTTACTCCTGAAAAGTAGGGAAATCGTGTAGAAAGTCAGCGAGTAGCGAGTGTGACACTGTGAGCAGGAGGGTGCGAGGTGGATGGGCTCACGGAGAGCAGGTTAGGGCGCGTAGGGTGCCCTGCGAGGACGGGCGCAAATGGGTTGTGACGGGTGCCTAAGGAGGTAGAATTTTTTGGGCAGTAACCCCCTACCTATAGCAATTAGTGAAAGAACAAAAGAATCATATTAAGAAAGCAAAAAAAAAAAGCTGTTTCACTGACTCACTCTCACATTTTTCTCTAGAAATTTATTTTTTCTAACTCCCGACAAGAAAGGGATATATATATATATAATAACCTATTTGACTAAAGGAGACAAAACAGAAAATGGTCAGACCGAGTGCAGGGCGGGGCAAACGCAGGCTCACAGTTGTGGGTATGTGAAACAGTTTATTCCTGTGTTATTACTTACTAATCATGGTATTATTTTCCGTACAAACAGCTGTGAACCTGCGTTTGCCCCGCCCTGTACCATTCACGGGGAAGAAGGGAGCGGTGGCAGGATTTTTAACATTTTAAAACCCAGCTGGTAGTCTGCTGTTTCTGGCTTCCTTACTGGCCCCCTTTTTGGGATACTTCTCTTGCATGCGAAGCACTGTGCTGTGTGGTTTGTTTAGAGGTAAATCTAAACTTCGTTGTGAGAGTGTGAGGGGAACTTCATGCCACCTTTGACTGCGCCGGCGCTTCCCCGATGGCCAGCCTCCCGCGCGTGTGCGCGGTCATCGGAGCGCTAGGGGATTTGAGTTCAGGGGCTGAGCTAAAGGGGAGAGATGACTAAGGGAAGCCACAGAGAAGTGAAGGCGCTTGACCAGGGCGCTTCTTGACGACAGTGCTGCAACCGAAGGAGGGCACTCATAGCCAACAGGAAAGGGAGTACAGCGAGGTTTTTATTGAGTTGTGTTGAGGATTTAAAAAAATGCCATCGCTTCTGCTTTAACAGGAACACATGGTAAACTAACAGTCCTCGTAATATTTTGGAGGAGGGGGGACTGTGTTAAAATTGATGGCACAGCTCAAAGAGAGAAGGCCGGAGTACAGCTGACACATGCGCTTGTTTACGTGGAACACCTCGTAGCGCTGCACGGCCAAGGGATTGCAGAGGGTTTTTGCAAACGTCATCCCAGCTGTTTGTTAGGTGAGGTCAGCCTGGTCACCTGCTAAGCGGCTGTGGGAGAAATCACTGTGGCATGAGCCTGGGACTTCTGTTTGTCTTTGCCATGAGCTTCTAACTTCCCCCCGCGTTCCCTTTCTTCACTCACCTCTCTGTTCATGGCACGCGTTTTAAATGTACCGCTACTAATGTCTCTGGAAGTTGGCAGTGCTTTTCCACCCAGCACCCACCCATGCCTTACCTCTGGAGGGGTGGGGCCTTGGAGATCCCCAGAGCCCGTTCCTCAAAAATTTAACCTCTCCCTCAAATGGGCATGCTCGCTGGATATGTTCTTTTGTCCTGAGTTGAATCAAAATCTTCTGAATCCTCTCCATTTACCTGGCAAGCAAACGGGTTTTGGCCATCAGTACTTGAAAACAGTTCTCTGGCTGGCATCCTGGATCAAGGGGCAGTCTCTTTCCAGGGAGCCTGAAACATTTAATGCTAAAGATGATGCTGAAACCACAGAAGATTGTTCCTCTTGGCACAGCCAGCCACCGGCTCCGTGCCTCAGAGCCCTTGTGCCCGTCGCAGGAGCGCAGTTCCGGAGGCAGCCTT